TTTTTTTTTTTGGACGGATTGGATTGAATTGGTTGGATCAATTCAACGATTTGATGGTTTGCCCAACCTTTCACAGTTTCACTCACTATAATTGATAGTCATTCATCATATATCAAGCATATTAAAAGAAATTACTTTTTTTTGGCTAGAATTAAAAGAAATTACAAGTCGGTCATTCAAATGTCCAAGTTAGAATAATCAATATAATACAAACAGCAAATAGTGCAAGTGATAGGCATGTTGACGAATCCTCATGCATTCATTGACTTGGAAAATGAATTTATTTTCCCTCAAACCGAGCTTGTGTATACAGCCTGTAGATTGCTGTAGTTTCCTTTTTCAACTGTAATTAGTTAGGCCTTAATACCTAGAGAATATTCTGCTTTAGGGTAGAGACAGTTTGCTAAAATAGTGATCATTGTACTCATATTCGACCAATATATCAAGAAAAAATATAGGAACCCTCTTGAATGACTCTAACTACAGTTCCAATAATAAAGATGAGTTGTTCCTTTTTGGATATGGTGGAAGAAAATTTGATAGGAACCTAGAAGTCTGAGCTTCATTAACCACACTAAAAATGAAAAATTACAGGATATATGGGCAGTTTCGTGGACCCCCGACCTCCAAGATAGTGCACAGCACTAGACACTCTCTACAATCTCATCATGCCCCCTCATTAGCCACTAGACCCTTATTTATACTACTAAAAACAACTACTAACTATCATGTTCCTAACAAAATTTTACTGTTTAAAAAAGAAGTATAAACACAGAAAAGATTGAACTTTAAAATAAACTCACTTTGTCATGTCCTCTAATGTTGCAGCAGCTCCTTTATACATCTGAAAAAGCAAATAGAGTAAAATACATAATTTGTATCTAGAACCCATTAGTAAAAGATATGAGATAAAAGAGACAAGAGATAGAACTCACAGTTGACCCACAGTCACCATCACCTGCTTTACTATCCCATTCGTTTAAACTATCCCTGAGATCAATAACTGCATTTGCAGCTGCTTCAATAGCTGCCTCAAGAATCTGACCACCTTGATTCAGTTGCAGTGGCCGACCTAATGCCTAATGGAAAAGCAAATATAGAAATTCAGGAAAGTCAGGTAAGCATTAATATATATATATATATATATATGTATATTTGAAAGAGGGGGGAAAAAAAAGCAAATACAAGAAATCAGGAAGTCAGGTAACAAACTTGTAGCTAAAGCAACATTCGGAAATAGGAGTTACAATATCAAACTTTGTTTATACTCATAAAACTAAGGTGCAACAGTGGTTTTTTGCACCTCAAGTGGCTGCAACTTTAATCCACGCATATTGGCCCGTTGCCCAATTTTCAAAAAATTGCAGCCTACAATTTTTAAACATACCTCATCACTCTTTGTTGAACGAGCAGGAGGCAATGGAACAGGAATCTTGGCAGGTGGGTGACTACCTGCAAGGATGGTCACTAAGCTCAGCAAAAAGAAGATGACTACCTGCACGGGTGGCTACTCAACAAAAAAAGAATCAAACTCAATACCTTCACTCCTTTCCTCTGGAATGGTAAAGGATATAAGCTACATGTGGAGGTAAGTAGGTACTTGTAAACATGTATATGTTTGTGTAGGTTATATGGTATATTATGTATATGTGTG